TATCAATGCCTAATCTCACAGTGCTGACATGCTCGCAGCTGAAAAGGCACTCATGTCGCTACCTAGTCCACTGACTGCCTCAGACGAGTGGATAAAGCCCCGAGAAACCACCGTCGAAGTCGTCCGCGTCACTGCAGGCCTACATCGACAAGTTTGGGTCAGCGGAACCAGTCTCTACGTCGATGTTCATGTCGCCAACAACAGTCGCAAGCTAGTCAAAAAGATTGAGCTTCAGTTGGAGAGGGACATACTCTGCTACAAACACGTTTGTTATGCGAGCTTGACATACTTTCTTGTCATGATGCTAATAAGAGTGCGTTGTAGGTTGCTGCGGCTACGATGGAGAAGTCTGCGGGTCAGGCTCGCATCTTTGACAGCAACGAGCGGTCTATCCTCAGTAAAGCAGTCGTCAAGCATGGTTGTGCCGGCTGGAACGGTGTTTCTGCACAACAGACTCATATCAGGACCTGTGATCTCGAAATACCCCGTGGCCACGGTACGGTAAAGTGTGGTATGTACATTGGCGCGAAGTCGTGTACTCGGTCCCTAACCAAGACAGGCAAATACTTTGAAGTCAGATACTTCTTGAATGTCATTGTAGCCAGCGGGCACACGTCAGTCTTGTCGTCACTATCACTGATCAAGCTGACTCCCTGCAGAAAGCTCGTCACCGTTCAACTACCAATCGTTCTCATCCACATGGTGCGTTGCACTATCATCCTCCTCCGCATCCACTAATAACCACACCCTCAGAACTCTCTCGACGTGGTCCCCAACTCCGTCGCCCAAGTCGCCATGGCCATAGAAGAAAAGCGCACAGCCCGCCATTCTCCACCGCGCCTGGGCCGCCGCCCATCCCAATCCGTCCAAGGCCGCGCTTTTGCAGCACCGCGCATGCAATCCTTGGAACGCATGCGCGCACGCGACGAAGCCATCCAAGAGCTCGGCCAAGCTCTCGAGCAAAGCCCCCGCAAATATGGTCTCCGCCGCGCAAACTCCAACTTCGACTACCGCACCCCGCCCTCCAACCGCAAAGGCAGAATCCTAGGCGACGGCGAAGCAGCAGATCTCCAGGACCGTCTGCGTCGTGTAAGATCGAATGAAACGATTGGATCGCGACCACCCACCTTACACAAAGTCAACTCTACGCGATCGAGACGAGGCGCTGCATCGGCTTTTGGATTCCGCGAAGCAGAGGTTCGAGAAGACATCGAACTTGGGGGGCTGGGTGCATCGGGTGATGGGCCATTGAAGGAGAGGTTGGAGAGAACTAGTGATCGGCAGTATCGGTTCAGCAAGAAGAAGAGCGTGGAGAAGTGGAAGGGTGTAGCGAATGTGGGGGTTGGGTGGTTGAAGGGGAGTGGAGTTAAGGATGATAGGGAGAGGGAGGGATGGGTGTGATGTGAGCACTTTGTGACCTTTGATGGGCCTCTTGTACGTTGGATAGCGCGTACGTTACGTCGAATGATGATACTTTACCCTTCAGTTCTGCTTGACTGTGCTATCGTCGCATACGATGAAGATCTAACAAGCACTCGAAAAACATAGTCAAAAATAGACGTAATGTTATTTGAATAAGCCTGTGTTTATAACAGCCTAGATGCTTTCATATATGATACAATCATATCTCATAGTAGTCATTAATCCCCTCTTCATCTTCCTTATGCAATATCATACAGTATTATACACGGCGTGTCGAGGTAATCGTAACAGGAAGACTCGCGCAATGGTAGAGCCTCGTGCAGCTTAAGAGCTTATGACCTGCTCTTCGCGAGCTCAGACTGAGCAGTCGACGTAGGACCACCCTTGACGCGCTCGCCACCAGTAACCTTCTTCTCACCCTCAGTGATGTCGTGTAGCGCCTCGCTGGTGATAGGCTCCTTGGCGTGACTCTGCGCCTGCGCAGTAGGACCTCCAGGTACGGGACCGTCCTCGCCCGTCAACTTCTTCTCGGCATCGGTGATCTTGCTCAGCGTCGACGAGTCTAGCTTTCCTGATGCGTTGGAAGTGTTGGCGCCGGTGTTGTTGTTGGATGAAGCGGAGCCTGCTGTCAGAGCAGACTGAGCGATGGATGTAGGACCTCCTTTCATGACTTCATCGGAACCAGTGAGGACCTTCTCGCCCTCGGTGATGTCGTGGATGACTTGCGCGGTGAGGTTCTGGCCAACGTGCTGCTGAGCTTTCGCCGTAGGGCCGCCCTTGTGTGGCTCGTCCTTGCCGGTGATCTTCTTCTCGGCGGCAGTGATCTGCGAGATGAAGTTGGAGTCGACCTGGACAGACATGATGCGTGTTGTTGTGAAAGTGCGGTGGTTGCTCAGATCGTTGATGTTGTTCTTGAGCGGTGCTCTTTGCGATGTAATGCGAGCTGCTGGTCGTGCTGCGAGGAAAACGTTGCGGTTGATACGAAGGAGTCTGGAAGCCATTGTTGCTGCTTGTTTATATGTCGACAGATGATGAAGTGGAAGTTGCAACTGTGTGAGGTGTGTAGGCAGATTATGTAGTGTGATGGAGTACTGATGTAATGCGAAATTGATATCGTCTGAGGTGTGCGCTCAGCGTGACGTTTACTATGGGGAAAGATGGATTGCAATGCGCATTTGCAACTTGTCGGTCTGCCCGTGCACCGCAAATCTCTGCATCAATGGCGACGACATCGTGCTGATGACCCTGAGATGCAGGTACCACATCTCCGATGGACGCGGCGACTGCGCGATGCGCGCGCATGATGTGGTGGAGCCATGATGTCAGCATTCTGGGGAACTGCGGCCATGACGATTTGGGTGCACTAGCGGTCAACTAAAATGGCGATGCGATTTAGGGGTCCAGATGCAGAGTTCACAACATCAATCACGACGCGGTCAATGTAGAAAGTAGTTGCTCAGCTACTGAAGGGTCTTTGTTGCGGGCGTAGTTCACTTCGGTCTGACACTTCGGATATTGCGGAATTACCGGCTTTGGTGGCGCATGTCAGACCATACGAGTTTCTCGCCCGTTGCTTGATTGCAACGCCATTGGGTATTAGCAAGTATTGTTTCGGTCGCACCTACTTGTATGGTATGCGTTGCGCCTTGCTATGTTGCGTGTATAAAGCTAATTGCTCCGGTATGGCACTCGCGGCGATAAGGCATGCGACGGAACGACTATGAGGCCGCTGCTGCAGAAGCTGGCAGCCATATAAGAAGAGTTGGTGTATTAAATATTGTGTGCCAAACATTAAAAACAGGATCAAAACCTATCTCACCCTTGCGTAGCTCTTGTGAATTAAACTTCCGGCTTATTCTTACACTGCGACAATGTCATTCATCAATCCAGCAGCACCCGTGTCTCTTCTAGGCAGACATCGTATCCTCAGTCCCACGGCAGCCGTCCGGGTCTCGCCTCTTTGCCTCGGTGGCATGAACTTCGGTGAAGCATGGAAGGCCACTCTCGGAGAATGCACCAAGGAAACGGCCTTTGCGATGCTGGATTACTTCTACGAGCAAGGCGGCAATTTCATTGACACCGCCGTCAACTACCAGTTCGGTGAGAGCGAAGAGTGGATTGGTGAGTGGATGGAAGAGCGAGGAGTCAGAGATGAGATGGTGCTTGCGACCAAATTCACTGGTATGCAGATTACCGAGAGAGAAAAGGAAGGCGGTGCGAGGTGCAAGAGTAATTATGGAGGTAACAGCGCGAAGAACATGCATACAAGTATTGAGCGTTCGCTGAAGGCGCTCAGGACTAGCTATGTCGATGTCGTGAGTTCCCTCTGCGGGCTCTGCATTCCGCTACGACTGTCGTGATTGACTGCCTCATAGTACTACGTCCACCTTTGGGACTCAACGGCCTCCATACCAGAGCTAATGAACGCCCTCAACGACCTCGTCTCCTCCCGTCGAGTACTCTACCTAGGCATCTCCGATACCCCAGCCTGGATTGTCGTAAAGGCAAACTGCTACGCCCGCCAACACGGTCTCCGCCAATTCTCAATCTATCAAGGTCGCTGGTCCGCCGCCGATCGTTCTTTCGAGCGCGAAATCATCCCCATGGCACTAGACGAAGGCATGGCTCTTGCACCGTGGGGCGCCATCGGCGGAGGAAGCTTCAAGACAAGGGCGCAAAGAGAAAAACCCGAAGATGGCGGCAGGAAGATGGAGATGATGGTCATCGGAAACGAAGAGAAAGTGAGCAATGTGCTCGAGGATATTGCAAAAGCAAAGTCTCCAACCCCGCTCATCACTTCCGTCGCTCTCGCATACGTTATGCACAAGTCACCTTACGTCTTCCCCATCGTCGGCGGTCGCAAGATTTCGCATCTCGAGGGTAATATCCAGGCTCTTGGTTTGAGTCTTACGCCAGAGGAGATCCAGCAAATTGACGCGGCTTATGGCTTCGAGATGGGGTTCCCGCATCAGTTTCTCAATCCAAGGAATACGGCGATTATGGGACCGGAGGATAATCGATTCGCGAATAACATGGGCGTTTTGGATCATGTCAAGGGGCTGAAGCCGATTCCGCCGCACCAAGGGGCGGTAGAAGAGAAGTGACTGGTCCTTCCGTTGGAGCAGGCGACGTGGTGTTCGCCGGCAAAAGATTGCATACGTTAACCCGTGGAGGCTACGGAAGGTGAACGGGATAAGGCACACATTACAAAGCCGGAGCGCGAAGGCTTCAAACGCTTTCCTGTTATAGAGACTGAGGAGAAAAGTCAGCCTGTAGCTTCCCTCTTCCACCCTCGTCATTAAAGTCCGGTCGCCGAATCTAGACGTGGATTGCATCTGCATTCATTCACTTTTGTGTGTGCCAAGGAACGGAGTTGCAGCCTTCGCTTCCTTCTGCTAGTCGCGATCCGTTTGTACCTCTTCATGCACCGTTCTGTTCGCCATCTTAGCTCTAGCCTAGAACGAATACCCAGGTATGCTTCGATGCGGACTTTAAGCACCCACTAAGCCCAATTTCTCATTTTAATAGCCCCTCTAGATCGATATTCGGATCTACTCAAAGGAAAGGCACAATCAACGATGTCTTCTTCACTGTTACGTTCCGCCAGCCCCAACGTTCGCATAAACGACGAGATCTGGGACATGATCTTTCCCGACGCAAAGACCACAAAGAACCAGAAGGCCGCCGGAGACACCGCTCAGTCCCCCGACCCGATCACTGCTAAAGACATCGACATCAGAGACTGGCCCTTCACAGACCGCAAGAAACTCGAGTCCGAGGATAACCGTATCAAAGTCTTCATCGATGCTGAGCTCATTACAACAATCTCGAAACCACTATTCCGCGCGACTTCAACAACAGCCAGCGAAATGCTTGTAGATGATACGGTCATGCTACCCGCAGCTATTGACAAGGATGCGGTATTTCAACTCGTCAATTACTTCGAGGACGTCATCTCAAACTCCAGCGAACCCCTGCCTCTCCCACTTAGCCTACCATTAACCGCAACCCTGAGTATGTGCGCCGCTGCGGCGGCGCTCGGGATGGACAAGTATGTCGACAACCTATACAAAGAGTGCGAAGACCTCTTAAAAACATGCCAACCCTCGTGGGCGACTATCGAAGCCATCACTTCATATGCGACAACGACACCGCGTTTCTCCCGCCTCTTCCGCATCATGATAGCCGGCCTCGCTACACGCGTTTGGAACGAAACGGCCTCCAACGTTGAAGTCTTCCAGATCCAGTTAAATCCTGTCCTTGAAAATTCGGTCAAGAGGGCGAATGAGAAATACGGGACCCTTTCTCAAAGAAGGAAGATGTATGAGAGACATGAGCGCTTTTCAGCCAGAATGGTGGCAGCTGGGTATGGAGAGTGGGATTGGGGGCGGAAGGTGGTTGGGAAGACAGATGAGGCGGGGGTTGAGTGGGATGAGTATCATGGGCCTGCTAGGAGATCACATGTATGAGGCAATTTTTAAGCTACTAAAAAGTAAGAACACTATATAAGTCGTCCATATGAGATTTACCCTAACGAGACCGACGTAAGAAATCGCCCGCGACCGGCATCCACACATCCTCACCTCCCCCTTGTTCAACTCCTATTTCCCCTTCCCAATAGCCTCAAAAGCATACCCCCTCGCCTTCCCCGTCTCCCTCATCCTCCAACTCTCAATATACCCCTCGACCTCCTCACACCCATTCTCCTCTCCAGGCACCGGCTCCCCCCACGTCCCCCAATACGGCACAACACCCGTCCACGTCTTCTTCACCAACTCCTTATCCTTGAGATCATTCCTATCCTCACTCGGCCCCCCCGTCCTAATCTTCGCACTCGCACTCTCAATCCTAACCCTAAGTATACTCGTACTCTTCAACTCCGCACTACTCGGGGGCACCCTACTCTTCTCCCAGCGCTGCGGCAACATATTATCAGTAATAGCTTTCATGGCGTACAGCGCTTCATCGGCGTCTTCGACGAGTTCAGCGTAGCCGTAGACGATGGCGGAGCGGTAGTTGCAGGAGTTGTGGAAGGGGGTTAGGGAGAGGACGAGGCCGTCGAGGAAACTGGCGGCGATGGTGATGGGGAGACCGGGGGTGGAGGTTTCTTTTGAGGACTTGAAGATGCGGCCGGAGACGTAGCCGTGGATGTAGAGGGATTGGGCGGTGGAGGAGGGGTCTGCGGACTGGTCCTGGGTTCTTGGGTTAGTATATTGATGTTTTTCATGCTTTTGCTGTTGTGGGATGTAGGATGGTGGGAGGGAAGGAAGTGACGTACCTCGTAGTTTCCTGTACATCCCAGCATTGGCAGGACGACGGGGAAAGGGTGTTCTGGGTCGACGAAGGAGACGTGGAGAATTGGACAGGCATTTACTAGGCTGTGGATTGTTGCATAGTCGTATGTGCCTGGGTTTATTGGTGTGAGTACGCGATTTCAAGTACGCAAGAGTGCGAAGGAGATGAACGTACCTCGATTCGCCAATCGACCGAGTTTGTTGACGGCGGTTTTGGGGTATTCTGGCGATGCCATTGTGTGATGTCTGTTGCTGAATCTTTGAAGTGACTTCGTTCTGACCGCAAGGAAAGATTGGCAAGAGAGAGAGAGATTGATGCTGAGGTCTCAAGCTGAACTGGAGTGCAACAATATGCGAGGTTCAATCAAGCTTTGTACCTTTTCCTCCAAGCTTTCTGTGACTCCCAATTCGTGACTCCTTCACCATACATACATGCACAGACGTGCGACGCTCATCAGGCGGGCCATTGTACACGTCCAAAGGGTCTGGAGGATGACGGCACCCGGCAGGACTTGCTGGATGCGGAAGCGGGGCCGTAATCGTGTGAGTAATCATTGGTGGATGGCGTTTACACTGCGCGACTACCATACCTCGCGTACACGGTTAGGCGTGTAGGGCGTCTAGAATTGTGAGTAGCCTCACAACAGTGTACATACCGCGGAACATTGGCTGCGGATACTTCGGGTTATCCACGGCCTGTATGCAAATCAGAGCTGCAAGTATGAGGCGATAGTATTCCATATCCATCTATGATACTAGACAGAGTACAACATGTAGTCAAAGTAAAACCTAGTCCCAATCCAATCCGGGAGAGCCTCAATGGGCGATGCAGTCCAAAAGTCCAATTCCAAAACTCCGTTCCATGCAATTCTTCCTCCGCTCTTCTTGACCCATTCTCCAGTCTATCATCTGAAACTCCACGCCGTTCTCAGTCCACCGTTGACACTCTCCAACTTCAGACACTGATACGGACTGCTCTGCGGATCATAATACAACCCTTCTAGCATCCCGCTTCTCCGGTCAAGCGCCACGTAGTAGAACCCGCTGATGGTAAGCCCGCAGCCTGAGTCGTCGAATGTCGCTTGTTCGGCGTCGTTCGTGACGGAGTTGAAGAGCGGCTGTGGTGTGATTTCGACTTCGGCACGGCCAGTTTGCGCGTTGCGAACTATGCGGTAGGGCGAGGGCTGGAGTTGCGAAGTATGCGTGGAGGTAGGAGCGGCGGGTGCGTAGTTGGAGGAACCTGTCGAGGCCCAGGGATTGGACGGTGGAGGGTCGGCGGAGAAGGAGGAGGGTATCGTGGTGGAGGGTGGGGGCTGAACAGGGTCAGGGGTGCTGCGGTTCAGGCTCTTTACAAAACATCGCTCTTTCCAGCGCATGAGTATCCAGTTCTGGCCCAGGACTTCGGTGAGCCACTTCTTGCTTGTTAATGCCCTGACCACGTCTTCGTCGCTCATCTTCTGGAATGGGGGCAGTTTGCGCCAATATGTTGCGTCGTTTGCGGCATTCGATTTAAAGGATTCGGTGAGGAGGGTGTAGTTGTTGAAGTCGAGGATTTCGCCTTCGAGGTAGGTCGTAATGGAGGAGGTGCGCGTGACGGACGGCGTGGCATTGCTGGGGGAAAACATGGTGTGCGGATGCGGGTGGGAAGGTACGTTATACGCTTCCATGGTTGCGGAGAGAGACATCTGCTCCCAGTCCACGTCGTGTATGGTGACCTTGACGGGCCATCGGTCTTGGTGCGGTTGTGCGTCGGGCTGCGAGTTCCGGCTCGTGGAGACTTCGCTGGGATTCCATATCCACGGTCGGATGGGCGGTGGGAGTCCCGTGTGCCGGCTGTATGTGGTAGTCGCGGCAGCGGGCATTGTCGTTGCATGCTGACAGCCCGAGAGTATCGCGCCCGGTGCCAGCCATGATGTCTCGGTGGGCGGCGGTATGGCGAGGGTGTTTGCGACGAAGTCTGCGTGCTGTAAGAAGAAGTCCTTGGTCAGGAAACCGGCGTCTCGCGCCCGCTCCCAGCTCTCGTCGTCGTCGCGCGAGTGGCGTATGCGCGACAGGTACTTGACGGTCTGCTCCAGCATGGGCGACGTGCGGGCCTCGGCGTCTCGGTGCGAAGACATCTGGCGGCGTTCTCGCTGGACGGTCTCGGGGAAGAGGCTGGATCGGGCGGCAAGCATGTCTCTGAGGCTGCGGTGTGAAGCGTGGCGTGGCGGTGCTTCGCTGCTGGTGGCGGCTTCCCTGGTGCGCGCTGAGAAGCGTGGATGGCGGCGCACGCCTGCCGACTGGAGGATGGCCGTCGACCTCAGTGAGCTCTCGGGCGCGCCCGGGGCCTCTGTCGCCGGCGACCAGTCATACAGGCTGTTCTGACTGGGCACGCGGTCGCCATAGTTGTTGTCGCTGAGGCGGCTGAGGCGACTCATCACGCGGCGCAGGCGGTCCCGCTGCTCCAGCTCGTCTCGCTGCCTTTCCAGCAGGCGCAATCGCTCCTGGGACCGGTCCAACCGCGCCTGGTCGCGCTCACGTGCTGCGCGGAGATAGTCGACGTGGGCGCGTTCGATGTCGTCGTCGCTGGGGATGCCTTGTTCGTCCGTCGGGGTGCCCAGCGTGGCGGCGAGGTTGAGCACGTCGTCGTTTACGGGGCTCTCGAGCTCGCGCAGGGCCGAGATGAAGGTGGGTTCCGCGTCGTCCTATTGAGCGGCTACGTCAGTCATGCACTTAGACCACGGCTATGTGACAGCATGTGGACGGCAACATCTGAACGGCGGGTGCTTACAGGCGAGTTGGCGGGCGGCATTATGACCAAGCAGGCGGCGCAGCGGGCATGGCGGGACGGAGCGATGGATGAGCTGTCGCATGCAATGCACGACGTCGGATGCACGATGTCTCAAGAGCAAAGGCGTGTCCTCGGCGAAAGTGACGCGACATGTCAAACTCTTAAGCCTGAGCCATTGCCCCGAAAAACCAAAGACAGCTCTGCTTGGTGAGCGTCACGGCACCTGATAGCGCACGCCATCTCGCCATGCACTTCCCCCGTTGTCCCGCTGCTGGCTTCCGCTCCGCTCTGCCAATAGTCGGCGCTGAGAGGCATGCCGCACAACACAATGCATTCCTCGCTTGCCCCAGATTGCCTCGTCGGTCCCGCGAGCATGGGTGGGTGGTCTGTGCGGCTACCATAAACCTCAACTGCAAGCATCACATTGACGACGCTGGAGAAAACGTAGCCTATCTCATAGCAGGCGGTCAGTCTTGCGGCAGAACTAGGCATTGATGACTTCCAACTCGTACGCGCTAGCACCCCATTCAAAATCCCGTCACGACAGTCGCTCCTTCCTCTCCAACCCCTCCAACACCACCAAAATTCTTCCCACCAACTCCGCAAACTCCCCATGATCCCCCCACGTATAAGGTCCCAGCCTCGCCTTACTCGCTCTCACCAAATGCATCAACTTCGCCCTCAACTCCCTCCTCGGCTCCTCATTCGTACACATCGGAAACCTCAAATCCAACAATGCACTCCTCGCCGTCTCCACCATCGTCTTGCTACACCACACATGAAACCCATGCATAATCACATCCTCCAGCGACAGTGGCGCATGAACTGTCCCCGGTGGCATAAGTAACAAATCCCCTTTCTTGAGGTAAATAGGAAAACCGGGTTTGTTTGGTGCATACTGGATACCTGCTTGTCGTGCTACAGCCCATTCCTCGCGTTCAGAGTCGGAAAGCGACCACGTAAACCACAATTTCGAGCCAGTCTCACACAATACACCGGTGTAGAGGCCATGTTCGTCAACGTGAGGGAAAGACCATACGCCTCGTTTGCCCCAGAGAGCGAACCCAGTTTTACTAGAGAGATCGCTGAGGTTCGGGTCCGAGTGGTTGGACATGCCACCGTATTCCGTCGCTTCGGATAGGATGCTGTAGTCGGTGAGATTGTTGAGCTCCCAGGGTAATACGTTCTGACGTACGGGCCGGATGTCGAGCAGGTTTATGGGGAGGACGGTAGGGTCGGACATGCGTTTTAGGGCGGTGGAGATGGTGAGCCGGCGGGTTATGTTTTTGGATGTGAGGTCTTGGATGTCCATGTAGGGTTCGGTTGAGGCGTGTTTGCGGAATTTTAGGACGGCTTCGTAGTGTTGGGCGGAGTAGAGGGTGCGTGGTTCCGGGCTGTTGTTTAGTTCTAAGGGGACGAGGAGGGGGACTTGGAGGGTGAAGCGCTGGAGTAGGTCGCGTGCTTCTGTGGAGGTGCAGACGATGAGGCTGTTGTCCCAGCTCGGTGTGGATTGCTGGATGCGCTGTTCGTACTGGGTAGCGGTGATGGGCACAACGTCTTCTCCAGGCTTGATGATGTCGATGTAGCCCCTAGACTCTAGGATGAATCTCCTCTTCCGGGCTTGCGCGATATTGGACTCCTGCACTTGCATATTCAACTCTTCTAGCATACTTATTCCACTCTCGAGCGACGACTTAGCGGTGGCAGGATAACTACTGATGAAGTCTTCAGTCTCGATGGCTCGATGCATTTCCGAAAGAGCGCATGGGCTGACGTTCTCAGACGGCTGGATGGTGACTTCCAACAAGCGCCTCCTTTTGCATGGTGGAGGGCTATTTGTCACATCGTCTCTACTGTTGGTGGTTGTTTTGGGGCCAGCAAACATCCTTACAATCACGGTTGGTACTCGCGAGTAGAAGTTTGATCTTTGCCTGCACATCGGGTGGTGCAGCCCTCATTATGACTCCTTGACTGGTGCTTGTCACCCGTCTAAGCGCATTCTCGAACTGAAGAACCTCATCAAGGACTTTCGCGAACATGTAAGACAGCTCCATAGAGCCAGAAAGATATGACTGGCATGTTTCTCTAGTCACTGCGAGGGCCGAGGAGGTCGAGACACTCACTCGCGTACTCGACAAGCAACGCTCTCACGCTGAATTGACGTGCGGAAAAGCTTGATGTATAACAAGACGTTTAGCAAGTACAGCAGGATGTAATGCAAACAGTCCACACCGTACATAGGCTCATCTGACCAACTGAACTCTGAGTATTGGCCTTTCCTTTACTTTCAACCTACCATTCGCACGAGTCTCCTGACGTATCCCATGATCATGATTCGCTGAAGACGCAGTAAGAGACATCTTGGCGAGCTATACTAGGCAGAAGTGTGATCAATTGGGCGAGGTCGGCTGTCACCGTCATTCACTGCCAAGACCACTTAGTGTCTCCCTTCTCTGTATAGATTCTCCCGCCACCCTACTCTTGTACCTCTTTATCTACGAAAGTATCTTATACCTCAGTCTTTAGGTCTACAGTTGAGAATACCCGTCATAGAATCCAACTACGATAACCTTCTACAATACACCCAGAACACCACTTGTGTGTAAGGTCCAATAACCGTTCTGTTTCGCGACCAATTCTGACGGCTACAGAGCCACGCGACGGCTCATATCAAGATGTCTGACAACATGGTAGCCCCCACGCCTGCTTCAAGCGATTCTCTCAACGATCAGAAGGTCCCCGGTGGTCTCGAGCACTTGCGTACCCTCGGACCTATTCAACGCCAAAACCTGGTAATGAGCGACAAAGTCCAGTTTGTGGACCACCTCGGCAACGTCATAAAGTCCGGAAACAATGTCACTGAGTTACCAATCGCCCTCTTCGAGGCTGTATCGGAGAAGCACGAACTGGTTGTCGATGGCAAAATTGTAGTTCCAGAGGGCATCGATATCAAAGCTTTAAACTACCTTGTCTCTCTGGTACTAGCACTACCAACCGCGCCGAAGGTATTCCAGTTCCAGAAGTATGTGGTGAGAGACTTTAAAGGACAACCCATGAAGGATGTTGAAGACACCTTCAAAGACCTACATCTTTGCTGCGCCGCAGATGCACTGGGTATCGGCTCCTTCACCCAAGGCATCTTCAACCACTTCTTTAGCCGTATCAACACCAAAGTCCCTCCCACAGACGTCATCAACATCATCACCGCCGCCAACAATCCAACCGGAAACAAGCTGTTCAAGCAGATGGCGTACACCATGGCAAAGAAGCTCGACGATGTAACTTTCCCCGACCCCGAAGGATTCAAGCAGAAATACCTTACGACCAACCCCCGTCTCTCCGAAACCATCGACCGCTTTCTCACCAACATCACGGAGACCGATGCTCGTAATGCTGAGTACCAGAAGCGAGAGGCTGGACGGCAGCAGTATGCTGCTCATAATGCGCAGCACGAAGCTTGGAAGAAGGAGGAGAAGGCACGTAAAAAGCAACGCGAGGCAGATGAGGCTGCGCGGTGGGCGGCGGCTGGCGTGTCGTACCGGAAGAAGGTCAGTCAGGGGAAGAAGAACTTTACTCTGCTCGAGGTGAAGTGGGCTGATAAGGTGGCTGGCAAGAGGGTTTATCCTGGTACTGGTAACTGATGAGATGCCATTCTCAGAGGATCGGAAACTGGGGTGGCTTTAGTGGTTGGTGGGATGGGCGGCCTCGCGCGGAAGACATTTGCTGATATGGTCTACGGCTTTCATCCTGGATTCTCTTGGGAATGGTGAAGATGTGTATCTAAAGAACAAAGTTTTGGCTTTGTAGACGACAAGTGTATATTCATGAAGTTGATGCCGAGGAAATGGACATCTTGTGTGTTGAAGTTGCCCAGCATAAGTGATGTGCACCTGCTCTTTCATTACGTCATCTGCAAAAGTCACCGAAGTGACGCAACGCGCCTCGCTCTCGCTCGCACCACCGACACTCATCTCATCACTTTGCATCTCTGTCCATCGCCCTGCTGCATATTATCCATCAATTGAATGTGTGAATTACTATGGCGGGCGCTTGTTTCCCGTCGGCTACACACGCCGATGATTGTCGGGCGGCCATGGCCTATGCACTTGGAAAGGGCAACAGCGACGCAACATGTTCATCGCACATCAGTCTCACGCATCGTGCATGTCTCGAGAGCCCCGAAGAGGTCAGAGGTAGGCAACAGCGAGATACACATGCAATGCGATGAACATCCATGTGTCATTGGATGAAACACGATACTTCTCGCTCGGGTGGACAAGACAGATCATGAGAGACATGCGAGCTCAGCGAAGCGTTTGTAATGTCTCACATTACCTTCGCATGCAACGTAATTTCTTTGGTCTTTCACTTGCTGTTAACTTTACCTGGGTCCCGTGTTTACGCGCTAGTGTCCGCTGGTCCACCTGGGCAGGCTACACACTCACGCATCGCTCCTGCTCAAACAAATCCAGTCGCCCGCCGTTGATCTTGTCCGAATTCGCTTTCGAAGCAGCGACTCCAATCTCTATCGCCGACTCAGTACCATCATCTAAGCGTCAACCCCTGGACACTCTGCAAACGGTGTCGACAAGCCGTCTGACCAGCTCCTCCTCTTACGACAGCCATAATGGCCAACCTTCTTGATCTTCCGGTTGAGATCTTCCAGATGATCACCCACGAACTAGTCAGCAGCGCGGTGGGCGGCGTCAACCGTTCTGCCAAAGGCCGCCAGATTGAAGGTGTCTGGAGGCTGCGATATGTTTGCCGTACCTTTGCTGCAGAGATCGAGCGCAACGTTTTCTCCCAGCAGCCAAAAGCGGTATACTACAACAACTACTACTTTGAGCGCCTTGTCCTTAAGAGTCTGCCCCGATACATCATGCAAGTCAAGCGAATACCGGGGAACATCAACGAAGGCTTCCGCGCACGACTGCAGCGCATGACGAGCTACATTCTGCAAGAGCTTGACATCAAAGATGAGAAGCAACGCGCAGACATAATCGACAAATTCTACGTTAGCTTGCGCAAGATCGTTAACGAGTACGGTTTGAGTCATGCCCTGTGGTGCGATTGCGGTCCCTCGTGCCTTTTCGTCACTCAAACCCAGGACAGTACCGAGCTATCCGTCCAAGATAGGCTTTGCACATCTCTCATGGTCGGAGCGCATGATGTTCTTGCTGGTGTTCTCCCAGAAGTCAGTGGCGCGGAGAAGGATCGACTCTTCCGTGAACTGCCTTTTGACATCGCTCGGATCCTAGGTGACATGGAGTCGATTAAAGTTATTCTCCGTCATCTGGAAACACGGCCATTGTTGGAGCGAACGATTCTTACGAACTACACCGGAATGTTTTGCATACAAGGAATCATTAACAATATACTGGCTAGCGACAGCGGTACAACTGCTCAGACTCTACTCGACTTCCACAGGAAGAGCCTTTGCTCCCCCGCGAGGCACGACTACAATAATTGGGTTCACAACGCCGTCCACGACCGCACAACCAAGTATTTGCACAACCTAAGGGCCGTCTTGGATTTCCACCCTGAGGGCAGGACACGGGTCTTGCGCGAGACAATGCTCACCATCTGTGCCAGAGGCAGCTCTGAAGATGTCCAGGAAGCCCTCAAGCGCGTTGAAGATGTGGACAAGGGAACAGTGTTGAACGCTCCCATCTTCATCGCTGTTCGATCCGGGCGCGTCGCCGCTGTACAGGGCTGCATTCAGGCAGGCGCTAGTGTGGACCTCGCCGTACGTTCGAACATTCCGACACTTCACAAAGACACTATCACCCCCCTTGACGTCGCCATGAATCGGAACGATGACGGCGTCGCAGACGTCCTCATCAAGGCCGGCGCAACAATCCCGCATATATCGCAGTGGCCAGGGACTAGGCGCGTGTACAAGGTGTTGCGCAAGGCCGTCTCGGAACGCACTAAGGTCAAGCTGCCGGATCTGAGGAAGTTCCAACATATGAGCCTGGCGGAACGCAAGGATATACAGTATTAGTGGACCGACAGCGAGGCTATGGTCGTGGCTGCAGCTTCGACGTGGCAAGAGTGATGGACTGGAGCCTATGGGAAACGAACGGCAGGCGTTATGGTGAGCCTTGAAGTATACATTGTCTTGCAATCTATAGATATGCCAACCAAAACCACAGCGAATGCTCCTGGGTCAGTTAAGGGTCGAGACGTCCAAACCAGTGCCTTTATCACTAATATGCCATGTACATAATGATGATAGCTAGCTCCACATCGTAACTTCCCCGTCTAAGCCCCTATTCTTATTTGCTGGATGGAAGTTTAGCGCTCTTGCTCATATATACCGAGGCATGACGTTGGTGTCTGCTTCCACGCGGCTTGGTCCTGCCAACAACATTCGTGCCAGACCTACTCAAGAAACATCCTCGTTCCATCCTTGCCGTTTCTTGCACGCAAAGCACATGCTTCGACTATCTGGCCGAGCAGAGGCCAGAGGGCGCCTTCTAACGGTGGAGTTGCCCCTGTCGACGGGAGACGGCGAGGCTTTTCGTATCTATGATCTTGACAACGTCAAGGGAATGTCGAGGAACTCGAGTACTGACATGGGCCGGGGAAACAATTGTCTCAGTTCAAGCTGAAAAAGATTGAATCACTCGATGACCAATGCAACTGAGGCTTCTCCAACGCCTGCCTAGCGGCGTGGCAAAGTGTGTGTAAGCTCTTTGCTAGACTTTGTGTTACCTCAGTGCCCTAGTGTGTATGATGCACAGACGTTGGCCCCGTCAGCTAATGCTTTTCTAAGCTTCTACACTATACCTTCTGCGCTACTCCGACTCCCACTACAGCTGAACCTCAACCTGGCGCGACCATCACCGACCAAAACTCTCAACTGAGGCTTAAGTGCACTGTCGATAATTGCTACAACAGTCAACATCATGGCGCTCCTCAACGACCTTCCCAATGAACTTCTGCTCCAGATAACCGAGCATCTCAAGGGCCAATCTCAAACGCTCGCCCGACTCTGCCTAGTCTCCCGCAGATGGAAAAAAGTTGCTACGAGCGCTCTTTACACTGGAGTGGCTTTGTATATCAATCCAAAGAAGTTTCATACCTTTGTGCGAACACTGCTTACACACGATGATCTTACACGGCATGTCAAGATATTTGAATGTCTTTGGGATACACGGAACGGCGATCTCTGTGCTGCCGAAGAAGATAAGATACAAGATGAACCAAAGCTTGTGGGGAATTGCGCCGCACAGATCATGCAGATGGCCGTCCCGGTCGAGGTAGCGGGACATCTCACTATTAATCTCGCGCGCGGGCAGCGGTCGGCTTTCGCAGCGATCATATTACACCTGCTACCGACGCTTGAAAGGCTTTCAATCCGTGTCACAGACCCCATCAACGGATCACGATTCTCTTTCCGTTACGACCTTATTCGGGTGTTATATGGAATCAGACACGATCGATTCACCCGGACTGAACTGTGTGGTTTACGAGGCGGGCTCCAGCATTTGACACACCTCTGCATTCCCTTTACACATTTCAATCTCCTCCGATTCTTCTACCTCCCAAACCTGAGGGCGTTGAAACTAGATCTCATGAGCAACGGTGTCCGCGATCTAGGGTCAGGCTGGTTGAACCATGTCACCACACCGATAGCTTCGAAGAACGGCATTGAAGATCTAACTATCCAGCTCGATTGCTGCGAACTAGAGCCGTCATCAGTTCACTTCGTCACCCCACATATCATACGATCGCTTCACATCGATGGAAGCCTTAACGGTCGACGACATACACTGAAGCATGTCGACTTTCGTCTCACTTTTGGAGGAGGTTACTACTGTGGAGCTAGGCGATATTTCCAGACCCTGGTCTCGCACCTGGCGGCCGCTTCGACAGAAATTGAGAGCCTGCGCATAGATATCCGCCTAGTCTATTGCGACTGGGAAACATTAGCAAGGTACCTTTCGAGTATGAGACCCGTTACTACTCTCTCTGGCTTCGGGAACCTGCGAAACCTTGAGGTGCCACAGGAATTTCTTATAGACAGAAACTTTCGGAGCAAACCGCATCCTGGAGGTGATCTTCGACTCCTATTGCCCTCAACGATCGAGAGTTTGACTATCATCTGCCCTGATGGTATGGCCATCGTGTGGCTCCACAAACTCTCCCTCGTTCTGAGCCACTTCAATGCGTTGCGGGTTCTTGCGCTTGAATGTGTTCCAAGACATGGTCGGCTTGCCTCATGGTTCCATAAGCGCCGCGATCCTGTCTTCGACACATTCCGCGATAGAAGCATTTGCGTGCGTATATATGATGCAAAAGCTGGATTCAGGCGTCTTCAGGCGTCTTACTATGTCGACGCGCCCGATCTGAGACAGAAAAAAGAAGACCCTTTCCAAGAATCTCTGGACATCTCAGGCCTCTTCGGTGAGGACGGCGGATGCGCAGAAATATAAGGGAGGGTTTGGTTCGATGGAGACAATAGTCGCATGCTTGTCAATAGATGCGCTACTGGCAAAATGAGAGTCAAGAATACACGCGTCCAATATCAGAGAATATTGATAGGGTTTTCAGGATAGTATCGGCTAAGAGCGATCTGACTGATGTTGTAAGAGGCCGAAATTCACCGTCAATACCTAGGTACACGCATGGCTTTCCTTGTAGAATGAAATACAACACTAAGAAATGCCACTGTTAGCTATTTCCAGTTCGTGGAGGTTAATCACAAAACAAATATGTCAGCGTGATGCTAGATTTGGGCATAATGAGATGGTATAGTGTAGGAGTGGGCCGGAGAGACGACCTCGGAAAGGTATCGCAGAGTCGGAGGTTCGGTGAATCGATGCGCCGATATCCGAAGCCGCCGGCATCTTCAGTAATGAGCCTCAGTGCCTGGCGCCGTGCGACATCGCTGTCGTGTACTTAGCTAGACATCACCACGACCAGAACTCGCATGCGATCTCCCGTTGCTTCGACTCGTATCTTCTCGTTTCCTCACTCTCGCGCCTCCGGGCATTGCTACCGACGTCGTCTACACCATACGCAAGCGTAACCCTCGTGCCCAGGTGGTCACTGATGATGGTAACTACTGTAGCCAGCGTCGTAGTCTTCGACCTTGCAAACGATCGCTTTATGCGGATTCGCAATAGTCGACAACAAGCACCGTCATCAGGGACCGCCAAATCACTCAACACAAGTCAGAACGACAAGTTTCACTGGGGACTCCGGGCACATACCGTAATACGGGATCGCGTCGCACACTGAACGAAGCTCACGGATGCTGGATGTCGTCTCTGCGTAGAGAATAACCTGGGTGACAAGGTGGTTCGCCCTCTGGAACGATGCGCAGTACGGGTCCGGCGTAGGCTTATCTGACAGAGGGAGGTAGAGGGAGACAGAGTCGCAGCGCGTTTGTCGACCGCACAATCTTTACTAACAGCTAACCGGCAGTAACATAATAGTAGGGATCATAATCTTTATCACGCGAGATATGAAGCTACACAATACCCGGCGCGCAACATGGCGTGAACGACCACAATACACGACACGCGTACATCCGATCACCGCAACCCTACGAAGCCTTAGAAGTCGCATATATAGCAAGACTGCGACAGAGCTAGCTACGGCTGCCGAAGAGCAGAACAAACAAGCTACATGGAGCAACGTTGAGCGGCTCCCGGTCCCCAGAGTATCAGACACACGACGTGGGACCATCCACTTGTAGTACAATACTGATACCCTCGATGTCACCTGACTGCAAAGACAGAAGTCCGCTAGCCTTGGTATTCGAAATGGTGACATACGATACTTCTGCAGCATGATGATCGTGATTTATCGAGGTCGCAAGGTCCGAAACAAAAACAGCGAGGTGGGCTATCTGGAAGTCAGCGGAAGCCTCACAATGGGAAACGAATTACCCACAATCGCGCATCAAGAACTGCCCTTATCCCCGCAAGGTCGCCGCTAAAGTCATGCTGTTCACCGTATTCGAGGTCCTCCCACATGGTCTCCCATTTGCCTCGGGTACTGTTCTTGACATGTCCCCAAAATTTCACTCTTGGTACCTTCTTGGGCGTCCCGTAGATCTCCAAGATACCTACATAGAGTAATGTGAAAAACCAGTCTATCAGAATCTTCTGGCAGGTACGGCCGATCCTATTGCGTTGTTCAACCGTGAGCCCGGGAAACCTGGTATCATACCTGTCCTCGGAAGGTAGCCTTAATTCGGGGCCGGAAGGTAGCCTCAATCCGGGGATGTAGAAGATGAACTCTAGGCTTTCCAACTGTGGGTTGTTTGCTAGACACTTCAAATACTTTGTCTTTGATTCGCGTTTTCCGGAGATGCCATTCCTCCCAGTATTTTCGTATCCAAGGAGGCGAAAGTGGCTAACGATGGGCATTGCCAGCGTCACCCGACGGAGTGAAACGAGACTCAAGGTCTGAGATGGCATCGCTTGTGGCTGACAAATGACATCGGCAAGGCCAGATATGCTGCTGAACATTGCTGTCGGCGATCGTGCAATCGCATCCTCTAGCATTCCACACATCGCTCGACTGACCGACAACAGTCTCCTAACGCAGTGTTCTTCTTCAGGCGTCAGACCTGGTAGGCTGCTCAGGGGTTCTATAGTCGCACTCGCGCGCGGCCCCGCCGGATTGTTGATGCCAAATGTTTTGATCCATCTGGCCACTGGAGAATCTTGTTCGGCTAGATCATCTTCATCAACAGACACGTCTGCCTTTTTCCACGTCTCAGCCGTTCCTAAATCCGATGATGATGAACCATTGCCGGTCAAGCCGCGGGGCTGATCAGTTCTCTGGCGGTTGAGTTGACGGCCCTGGAAGCGTGGAGTCGTAAATGGTCGACGATGCGATATAGGTTCGGACTTGACGCGCGGCCAGATCACTGGACCTATCAAGTGATCAAAGATCTGGTCACGCAGCTCTTTTGGTAGCTGCATCAGCTCGAAGGTCTTCCCGGTGAACTTCCAGTAAAGGCACATACATGCCCTTTTGCGACTAACACCACCGTATCGCTCATCCAGCCATTGCCCGATGGGTTTCCAGTGCCGACACTTCTCCCATAACATGCGAACTTCCAAGCCGGCGTATTGTTGGCGAGAAGAGTAACGGACGTTAAGCGGATGACATATGCGTTCTCCAAGTTCGTCCACGTCGGTGAGTATGAAAGGCTCCGCCTTGCTTCGTCGCTTCGTCGCATGTGGACGCACAACCCTCGCAATCTTGACGTCATTCGTATTTGAGAAGAATGCGAAGCTTTCCTTGCGTTTCTCTGTAAAGATATCCAAGAAATGTTGAAAAACCCGTGATTGGCGTGTCGAAGCATCCTATCGTTACGTGAGTCGAGTCGCCAACTACTCGGAGCATGAGACATACCCATATGAATTGTGAGTTCTTGATCTCCGCCTCAGCGCCGCTTGTATCGTTTGGTACGCCCCATGTAGACATCCTGAAGACGATATCGATGGTGCTGGACCGACGGCAATGTGGTAGCCGATGGCGGCACGTCAAGCATGCATCGCATGTCGGTTTTCCCATCGCTGAAGAGATTGTGCTTGTCCGGCTATCAATTTGAGCTTCCCAGTGGGTAAAATTTGCTGACTGGCGATTGTGGTTCACACCAAAGGGCTTCGGGAGCAAGGGAGGTTATTATGGGCCGACTGCGATCAGCATGGGTGATGCGGTACCTAGGTAGTGTGCGGGGCTACTAAGATGATATTGCTAGCTACGTTTTGCACTCCACCACCTCGTCGCTACCGGGATTACGAAATTAAGATCACCTGGGCACCCTTGACCCACTATCGCCATGTGATTACCAAACTCCTGGAGAGTCTCCCAATCTTAGCATGCGTATTCATTGAGAGTAGTTTGCCACGTACGAGCCGCCAGTAACACAACGGTACAGATGGGCACCTTTACCACTCGAGATATGAAGCTACACGATACATCCCGGCGCGCAAAATGGCGTGAACAGACCCAATACACGACACGCATACATCCAATCGCCGCGACCCTACGAGACCTTCGAAACCCTGAAGCGGGGCTACACGATGTAGCGTCATCCAGTTGTAATAGATCATTAACACGGTCGATACGATATGCCCTTGCGGACAGGAATCCTCTAGCTTTCGTAGCGAATTGTGCATATCCATCCCTGCCACAGCGCGGTGATCTCGGGCTCCCCACGTCGCATGAATATGGACAAAAATGGCGAAGTGGGCGAAAAAAGATCAGACGGCAGTGTCATAGTACCATTGTGCTGTGCTAGCTACATATTTCCCTCCCATATCGATAGCCCACTTGCCCAGCTGTGATCTGTTGTGACTTTACAAAACCGACAGATATGTCTCCCCAGGTTTTCCCGCGTTCACATTAGTACCCTAACCGAAGTCGCGGCAACCTCCCGCCTCTGAACGTGATCCGATAGTAATATGTCCCAGGTATACGGCAAGGGTGGAACTATATCATGAAGTCGCATCCGAAACCACTTGACATACCAGTCGGCCATCACTAGACATTCGGAGTTCGCTTGGATGAGCTTATCGGTGTCCCAATACCGACTACTGCAATTGTTAAAACGTACTCCTCCAGTCCCAGCAAGAACATCTCGCATGAGATCGGGAAAAGCTTCGAAGAAATAGCAAGGATAGCGCATGTACCCAGTCCCAGAATGATCCGGGGGTGAAGGAATGACATGTCGGCCTGGCCAGTTCTGCAGCGCCTCTTGCCACGCCGCATCCTCGATGACGATATCGAAAATTGGCTGCATCAGATGTGCTTCGCCTTCGAATATAAGAGTAAACGATTCCGGGGGCATGCCTGCCGACTTCAAGGCCAAAGCCTCCATCATCCAAAGACCGACAGTTCTGGTAACGTCTACCGCTTTCATAGTGCGCATCAGCCCCAACCCTCGACGCAGGCCAGAACGGTATTCTTCATAGCGCACGGATTGCAACGAAGTCAGGACCGCACCCCAAAGATCTGCACGGTGAACAATCTTGAGCTTTGGGTTTTCGATCGCAAAGCGTATCAATGCTCGCGCATGGCACTCCGGGTGAGAAACGCTCGCATGCGTATCGTGGAGGGCGATTGATCGGATGCTGATCCGGAGATGTTGAGGTAGCTGCAGTAGGAACATTGAAGCTTGTGAAGCGGCGGAGACGTAATATCTGGTGCGATCACGGGCATGCTCGCGGAAGGGGTTGTGTAGTTCGGATGGTAAAAGCTTCTCCATGGACTTGATCTTGTGCTCGCTGAGGAACTCCCATGGCTTTGGGTGTAAAGAATAAAGACTCAGCGCATCTTGGCCTGGCGAAAACTGGAAGCGATGGTCTTCGAGCACTTGACGACTCATTTCACCGAATCTGGGATCCCGGGCCACGAGTCGAAGCAGCTCAGCGATAGCGTCCCGATGGAAGGATGGAGCTTGTCCCCATACGCCTGGCTCTTTCAGTTGCTCGTTACCTTCGAATAGATCTCTATCCATGTTTGAGAGGTGTCGTACCAAGGCCTTGCTTCGTGGGAATTGCTCCGATATTGTACGAGCTATGTTGTCGTCAATGAATTGCCGGGCGCAAGGCAACACGAGATATTTGATCATATGGAGATCATCAAGTAAGTGACCATAATGTCTGGCTCTTGCGCTGCATCGCTCAGTGGTCAAGCTAGATGTCGTAAAGTGTATCGTGTTGTTGAGAAGGTGTAGATCTCGCATCTCGGAAGCGATGCTCTTGCATGAGTACATGAGAGACAGTTCAATCTGATCGCCGGACTCGGTGCGTAGTTTTCCGGATTCAGAGTCGAAGTGATACCCACCATCTTCAATGGTATAGTAGTCATATATTATGTCGCGCAGCTCGCGGGGAAGGCGAACGAGCAGCATTGTAGAGCTATGAGTACCTAGGTATTGTTTCGAGGAGATCCGATGGTTCGTAGCTCACGTCTCAGGCTTCTGGGGATTGGAGATGGATGGACGGCAAGAAGCATGCGAACGATGCTGCTTATAACCCTCCCATTAGGCTTCCAAAGTTCAGCTTCACGAAGCATCACGTGACATATTTGGGGCTATCCATGAATACTACCTAGGTAGACAAGACCACTGAGCGCAGTGTGGATCAGTCCCGGGAAAATGCCAAATGCACCCAGGCGGAATTTGACGAAAGCAAGAGGCTAGGCGGCAGTTGGTTGGAGGCGCTGATTTGGGTACGTTCCAAGGTTACGTACCATGGCACCATGCGTTGACTGGATGCCCAGGTGCGTAGCTACATGCGCTGCCCCGTACTCGGGCCGGGAAAGGCTCAATCTCCTGAGGTCACATGATATTTACTGGAAAATGCTGGCACACCTGCAGCTCCGGTAACAACTGCACGTGTGCGTGGATTGGAAGACACATCCCGCGGGGTCGTGTCTAGCGTCTACTTGCACGGGTGTCTGGTCGCCGAGGGCTAAGGCCTAGGCATCGCGACGGGTCGCTCTCACGAAACGCAGCCATCGATGGTTCCGCAAACCTTCCCGAAGCAGTAACATCAAGAATCCGCTTTCGCGAAAGGCCGCCATCAACGCTTCAGCAAAGCTTCAGGAAGCAGTAACAGCGAAAGCTAGGGATTGAGACTTCCAGCATTGCGTATTATGTAAGCACGTGCTCCCGCCATCACTACCTACCCAGGCAGGTAGCCTGCCACGCCTGCACAAGCCCTGTGGTGCATGTTTAAATATAACGGCCTGGAATAGACGCAGTAGTAGTAGTAGCATGTTTAAATATTCCTCTTGCACCGTGCGGCTACTTGAGCACGTTGTTCCATCCTGTCCTTTACACCGAGCTCGCTCTACATGTTGATTCCTACGTACCTAGGTATCTCATTGCGACGGCAGTCACCCGGCAGTCATGCGTGCAGAGTCAGTGATGTCAACCTCGATTGCTAACGCGCTGACTGTATCTACATAACGAGCCTGCAGTGGCTGCCCCCCTCAAGCCATCCAGACAGCCCGGCCCGATACATGAATTACAACAAAGCCATCAGCAAGCCGTTCCGCACTTTTGCAGTATTCATCTGCCGTTGCGAACCTAGACTCGTTGTATAGTTCTTACGAGCGATGGCTACCACGGCCATCCATCCGGTATGCTACGGCCATGCCCCAAGCGTCCTGCACTGCGCGGTCGCCTCTACGTATCTCTTGTGCGTCCGCAAGATTTTGGCGCAAGCTGTAATTCCAATTGACATATAATCACAAAGTTACTCTGTACTACTTGCTAGGTCTTGTCGTTTGGACGAAAAGGATTGTATAACGGTACTGCGACAGTATCGCAAGTATATAGGACTTCTAGGGCCTCATTTCAAGCTCAAACTGATCGTAAGCTGGACCGGTAGAGGCATCGTGTACTGAGCCCGAATGTGCTCCCAGCCAGGCAGGGTATGTCATCATCAGGAAAGTGTCGTAGAGGTTCCTGTTGCGTGAGGTAAAGTTTGTATACCGACTCGCGCAGTTCACGAGGCAAATTGAAAAGTCCAATGGTGATGCTCGAGAAGCGAAAGAGGAGAGTATGGCATTACTTGTGCAAGATGCCGTCGAAGTTCCGAGCTCACGTACTTATCTACATCGAGGCCGCAAAAGCTGGCAGGACGACATTGCGAGGAGGCAGCGAGATTGAAAGCAAGCGGTACTTCGATTTCGTGGCTGGCCGAATCCGAAAAGTCACTCGCGCAAAACCTGTTCAGCTCGTGCGCGAAGCCAGAAGCAGGCGCTGGTATTAACAGGGTCGTCAAGAGGTTTCGATGTTCCGAGGCTACAGAAAGCCGCTTAGGTCGACCTGAGGCTCTCGACTGCCCAGGCGAACTACGAGGTCCCGTGCGTAGCGGGCGGGCTGTGACGGCGGATCCAACCACCTAGGCGGCTGCCACGCCAGACACCATGAACACCATGACCATCGGCAAACTGTTCCGCCATTTTGCAACGTTCTACCGACGTTGCAGACCTAGACAAGCCGCATAGTTGATCATCGCCTACCCTGCACTGTACAGGCATACATACCCTACACGTCGCCGTGCGCCGCGCTGCCGCCTACACGTATTTCGCGGTGCAAGATGTTGCCCACGCTCCCACATTCCCTCGAACCGGCATCATAATTCCGGATGTACCGCCTACAAGCGACGCCTGAGCAATTAGCTACCACACATGGGTCATGAAGCGAGCGTTCGATACGCTGGGTCGTTTCGGACTGTCTCTTCGCTATTTAGAGATCATGCCACCAGCTTCGCCATTCGTCACTAGTTTTGACATATCCTTTGCTCACGCTTGGAACCACTGCTACATCGGCTGTTTTGACAGGCTTCCTTCGCGCTCCCTGAGAGCTCCGAGACCAGGTGCACACCTATCACTTCGCCGAAAGTGCTAACATGGCTATTAGATCCACGAGCCCAATGTACCCAGCAAGAGACGCGCAACGCGCTGCGCACTTCGATCTCCTACAACGCGCTTCGCGAACGAACCGCCTGCTCAGGCGCTTCAGCATATCACCCATGACCTCAAGACCGGCTTCCTACTACGCAATGCTGCCGCTTCGCAAAGCTTCGATGACGAGATACGCAATTGAAACGAGAGAACCGATGCGCAGCTCCTACCAATTACGCTGTTTCTACGAACGAAGATGCATCACATCGAATGTGATGCATGGAAGCATATACCATTACAGGTCCGCCACTTCGCGCTGTATGCCTTGAGACTCATCGCAGCGGGACCAGAATCCGCTGAAAAAGTTGGGTGTTCCTCCCACTGGACCCCCCAGCAGTCTCATCCGGACACCGAAGCCAGGTTAACGCATGATCATGCGCAGTAGATGCTACCCATCGATAGCGGCGCGCATTTCATCACCCTGACCTGGGCTGTTCTGTAATGCGGAAATGATGTGTTGAACATGAGCCCGTCGTTAGTACATATACAAATATAGGTACTTGGTTGCAATCCTGGCCTTCGACTCCACGTTCTTTATGCGACTGCTCTTCGATCAGGAGTGCGCAAGGTCGTCTTATACAAGGACCGTGTACCGGGTTGTTGGCCAAAGTAACACGGCCACGGCCTACACATTTAGCGAAGAGTTGATCTTGGCGGACTATACTACCTGCGGCGTCAGCTTCGTTGAAGGGACCGGTAGATGACTCTTCTGCCTCTCTGCACCAGCACAGTTTAGACGTCAGTGGGTACACCACATCACCAGATCAGCCAATTACATTCACTATGAAATGCATAATGTTCATCCACGTCAGGTTCTTTAGTCGCTTTGAGCTTGCAGTGGCGCTCGGTTTGCTCAGCCCTTCAGCGACATGAAAATGTTCTACATCAAGTGTCATTGACAAGAGCCTTCCCTTCATGTCTAAAGTACTACCCAGTCTTCGCCTTTGTGTTCAAAGCCACCCTCGCATGTTCTTACCGGCGACTTTCTTCTACTTCTACCAACGAAGGACGAAGGACGAAGGCTGCGGAAGAGCTAGGCATTAATTCATGTCGTCAAATGCGGAGCAGTTTCTTGCGGTCGGAATCACCTGGTATCCATTCTTGAATACTAATCCAACACGATAGTGGTGCGATATTGTTGGATAGCAGCTGTGGGTTCTGTTCTTGTTCATCCCAGAGACGAGTGATGCCGCAAGTAAGATGCATGCAGCGAAACGGTCAAGGCGGTCAACAATTTGGGTTACGTAAGTTCAATTTAAGAGCTGAAGGCGGGAAAACGAATAACACTAAGATCCAGGATCATACATATGAGCGACTAGTTCCATCTCCGAGATTGGACTTTTCTACACTTCTGCTCCTGTCATCTTTGCATCTTCCTTTGTGCCCTCCCCCGCATGTTCTGCGTCATCTTCCATCGACCTGCAGAGGTAGAGGTACGAAGTCAGTATATGTCTCACATGCAATTCGGACAGTAAGAACTTACCTTCAACTTCCATCTCATCATCATACTCGTCTTAGTGTTGTTCCTCTCCATGTCCTTTGACGCCTTGGCTATAGAATTCTGGATCCCACTCACGAAGAGCCTCGATGGTCCTGCGGACCCTGAGGTCGTCGGTGTCTGCTCCCAAACCAATCATTTGCACTACCATCGGCGAATCGCCCATTCTAATCTGGTAGAACTTCCGTTGATCAATGCCGCTGGATTTAGACAGATCGAGAGGGCGATCTATCTCTTGTGCAAGTAAAGCTTGAACAGGGAATGATGCGTTCAAAGCTTTCCAATTTTCCTGGTATTGAATCCATTCTTCCTGTGTCCAACGAGGTCCGACGTCCGTTGAGCGAAACAGGGCTCCATTAGGTCCGAATTCGGTTCTACCGACACACATGAGGTCCACGCGGAACATGGCACCACGAACCATTCTGTTCACAAAGAATATATCCCTCGGGTCAGAGCCATCATCTTTCATGCGTTGCTCAAGCTCAGATAGCTGCTGTGACATGTGGGCCTTGTATCGGGCATGCTCTTCGGGGTGAGTA